TCAGGGCTGGGAAGAATTAACATTGTTAAAAATGTCCATACTACCCAAAGCAATATATAATTTTAATGCAATCCCTATTAAAATTCCATTGTCATACTTTAAAGATCTTGAAAAAATAATACTTCATTTTATATGGAATCAGAAAAAACCTTGAATAGCCAAGACATTACTCAGAAATAAGAACAAAGCAGGAGGAATCATGTTACCAGACATCAGACTATACTATAAATCCATAGTGATCAAAACAGCATGGTATTGGCACAAAAACAGAGAGGTGGATGTACGGAACAGAATAGAGAACCAAGAGATGAACCAACTACTTACTGTTATATGATCTTTGACAAACCAATTAAAAATAGCGAGTGGAGAAAAGATTCCCTATTTAACAAATGGTGCTGGGTGAACTGGCTGGTGACCTGCAGAAGACTGAAACTGGATCCACACCTCTCACCATTAACTAAGATAGACTCTCACTGGATTAAAGATTTAAACTTAAGACATGAAACTATAAAAATACTAGGAGAAAGTGTAGGGCAAACACTTGAAGAAATCAGCTTGGGCGAATATTTTATGAAGAGGACCCCCCCCAGGCAATTGAAGCAACATCAAAAATACACTACTAGGATCTCATCAAATTAAAAAACTTCTGCACAGCCAAAAGCATAGTAAGTAAAGCAAGTAGACAGCCCTCAGAATGGGAGAAGATATTTGCTGGTTATATCTCCGACAAAGGTTTAATAACCAGAATCCATAGAAAACTCAAATGTATTAGCAAGAAGAGAACAAGTGATCCCCTCTCAGGGTGGGCAAGGGACTTGAAGAGAAACTTCTCTGAAGAAGACAGGTGCATGGCCTACAAACATAAGAAAAAATGCTCACCATCCTTAATCATCAGAGAAATGCAAATCAAAACTACTTTGAGATATCATCTAACACCAGTAAGATTAGCCCATATCCTAAAATCCCCAAATCACAGATGCTGGCATGGATGTGGAGAAAAGGAAACACTTCTACACTGCTGGTAGGATTGCAAACTAATACGTTCCTTTGGGAAAGACATCTGAAGAACACTTAAAGAATTACTAATAGACCTGCCATTCGATCCTATAATTCCTGTATTAGGCATATATCCAGAAGACCAAAAATCACAATACAATAAAGATATTTGTATCAGAATGTTCATTGCAGCCCAATTCATAATTGCTAGGTCATGGAAGAAGCACATAACCAAATTTAAGGCATAATAATAAAACAAGCTGTGCCAAATTTGATGTCGTTGTCTCTGGATTCTAATGTTCTCTAAGAATATTTGTCATTGTAAAAAATGGTTTTATTGTTGAAAATACATAATTTTTCTGTTCTTTTCTTTCTTCACACATTGTTAGGATTTGAACTTGGCCAGACTTCAATGAGTAAGAGAGACAGGTAAAGACACTTCTGGCTTCCTTGCAATCTTGGAAACTTGCAATTTTTCTTGAAGGAGCCAAATGAAAGACACTTTCTTTGTAACTTTGTAGGTAGTTCTCACCATTTCGTGACATAAACTCTCTCATATGTGAAGGAGGACCCTTCAGGATTAGAAAGGGGAGAATCATCCTGTGGCCTTCTTTGCCAAGGAAATGAGATGCCAGGCACTGTCAGGGGAAGCCCCTGGAAGAGGTGCCCTGGAGGAATCTTGAGAGTGCAGGCTCCATGCCAGAGAGGCACAGGGGAACATGACAGTTTGGGCCAAAAATGTTAGAAAGATTTATCTCACCCGGGCTTTTGATTTGATCTGAGCTCTAAGGAATCAACCATTTAAAGATTAAGCCAAGCAAAGGGTGCCAAGAATACTGTCACAAATCTGGGTGGTACCCAAGCCAGACCAACAGATGGAACTTGGCACAATATGGCTCTTTACACACGAAGTAGCTGACTAAGAAGAAATTTTAACTTAGAGGAATTTATTAAAATGTTGAATATCACCTCAAATAAGAGGATGGATGATCGATTTAGATCAGCACATAGAATTTTACTTCCTTTTGGTCTTGGATCCTATGAAAGCTGCCCACATTTGTGTAATTAAAGAGAAGGAAATATTTGTTCTTCTTAGCATATATAAAAAAAATTATATTTTTACCTAACTATTCTGAAGAAAGGATCTGGAGAAGAATAGCTATTGCAACAGAGGTTGACTGAGCCCTTTTAGTGCCGGGGAGACAAGCATGATCCTAGAACTTCACAAGTGAAAATGTCACCTGGTAAGTTGTTAGTGGCCACAGACTGGCTGTAACTGGTTGTGATGATAGTTATACATCACACAGGTGGATCTTTGAAATGATTTTGTAACTGAAAGCAGTCATCAGAATCAAGAGGACCTTTATTTTATTTTATTTTTATTTAGAGACAAAGTCTCACTTTGTTGCCTTTTGGTAGAGTGCTGTGGTGTCACAGCACTTCTAGCAACTTCTAGCTCTTGGGCTTAGGCGATTCTCTTGCCTCAGCCTCCTGAGTAGCTGGGACTTCAATTCTCTCCTTGTTGCCACCACCACTGTCAGCAGCAACAATAACAAGACCTTTTCCTACATACATGCAACACAGGTTGGGGAACTACAGCCGAGATGAGGGGCGAATTCCTGAGGCTCGCTATAACACAAGACTAATTTTTCAAAAAACGAAATGCAGAAAAGTGGGGAAGGGTATCTTCTTGGAGTGTATGAATTTATAAGCTTAGCTGCATATTTTTCTTCATTGCTTCCCTGTGTTTCCTTGGAACTCTGTCTAATGTTTTACACGATGCCCTCATTTAATGTAGCTCTGGAGAGGATATAATTTCAGGTGATTTTTTGATTATTTTCACTGCATCCCATTTTAGCTCCGAAGTTTCTTATTGCTTTTCAGCATTTCCACAGATGCCCAATGAAAACCCCAATGATATAGGGGTAAAGTATAAAAGTATTCAAAACTCGGAGTATAGGCAGTGCCTGGGGTTATTAGTATAGGCAGTGCCTGGGGTTATGCATGAGATAGATTCTATAGGTTTGTTCTTAAGCTGAATTTTTATGTAAGTTGGAACAAGTACATTTTCTCCTTGCTCATAATAGCCTCTGTCCATAAGTGCGAGTCTCACGTCAGTCAGACATTTGTAACTCGAGGACTTAGTGCATTAGACCCTGTTCATAAGTGCAAGTCATATGTCAGCTGGTTGTTTGTAACTCAGAGACTGCCTGTATAGTAAATGTTAGAATAAAAGTACACTAGTAAGAGAAATCTTTAAAACATCAGATACATTTAAAATGTATGACTGATGTGGTATAAAGACTTCTGGAACTATCTACCGGCCAAAGTGAAGTCACCATGCGGAGTTTACAAGGAATCTGCCTGACAGCTTTAAAATTCTGCCCTTTTTGACTTTTTTTAATTTTGGAAGGTTACAACTTCAAATTTGTAGTTAGGGTAGTTTCGTATTAACATTTTTATATTATACCGTATAAAAAACACATCACTCAAATTTACCTAAAATACTACACCAATATACTAAGGTGACAATATTCTCATTTAAAAAGAGTGACAGGAACTTTTAATTACTTGCTAACAGCTATTTGTCTAGAAATTGATTAAGAGCAGAGCAAGGTTTGACTTCCCTGAGAGAAAGCCAGAAAGCTCATTATTTGCTCATTTTCAAAAATCAAATTAATAAACATTCTTAAAAAAAATCACTTCAGCTTTTTACCTTGAAGCCCATCCCAGGACAATAAAAAAAAGGCTTTAATCTTCAGGTATTAATATATGTAAGACAACTACAAGCAGTGCCGTTCATTTAAGATGAAAATGACAGAGGCTATCCTGGGGGTTCCTTGGTCATGAGAACGTCCTTCTGGGGCTCCTAAAGTCTTTCCGATAGTGGGAGTTTAATGGAAACAGAAGCTGGGAGCAGGCAGTGTGTGGCCATTCATCACTCCCACAGAAATCTTTCCTTCCACAGCGGCCTAATCTCCTACTATCTTTATTAGGAGGGACAGGGGGGAAAATTTCTAAGAGTTGCGAACCAGCCCTTCCCTGCTGCTATCACTAGAGAATCTGGAGGAAGAAGAAAAAAAGAAAACCATAATCTCGCCCTGGAACACGACGGAGGTAATGAGGCATCAAGGCCACGTACTGATGAGAGTATAATTGGCACATAAACTCAGGCGACGTGGTGGTGGGGGAGACTTCTTTGTTTCACAAACAGAGGGAAGCCAGCAAATCGTATAACCCTTCTGTTGTTTGGAGTGGCAATTCTAAGAGAAAAATGGATTTTTTTCCCCCAAAATAATGTACCCTTAGAAGAAAATGACGACTGAAGTAGATACTAGCTTGGGAGTTTCAAATGCTGTCAACTCATGTGAATAAATGATGGGGACTGCGTACCCGGCAGGCTGCTGGGCAGGGAAGCAGCAGCTCGTCTCCCAGGAGTAAGGCACCTTCTACCCAGAGACGGAGTCAGGAGACCCTCAGAAATCCCGGGCCTTCCCAGGCAACCTCCAGGGGGCTCATTCATGAGTCTCAGGGAAGGTAATATAAATGGTTCTGGCACAATCCTTTTTGATGACAGGCAAAAAGACTCTTCTTTCTTGAGGAGAAAGAAATGTCTGTATCTTTCTTACTTGGGAATTCTCTATCCTGCTGCTTTAACATGAAAGTCATCATGGGAAAGAATTTCCAACTTTCTTGGGTTTTCTTTAAAACTTTTTTTAAGTGTTCAGTGGGAAGATAGGGTTAAGATTTGGGTTTTTTTTTTTTTTTTTTTTTTAAAGAAACCTTTATTCTTGCCTCTCAAATGTTTTGAGTCAGCATACATTACGTCCCTACACACACAGCCAAGCAATAATTCATCTTTGTAGATGTCAGAGACATCTCATGTATTAATTAGAAAGCCTTTCAGTGAATAGTGGATAGAAACAGGTTCCAACTGCTACTAAAAGACAGCCAGGGATTTCCAGGAAGAGGGAATGTAAAGCCGGTTACAAGGAATATCTTACCCGATTCGTGTCTAGCCAATGAATGAACTTTGCTTTCATCTGGCACTGAGGAGAAGAAATAAGAGAGACAAGAATCAGATCCGCTTGTAAATCATTTTTCTGAACAATAAATTAATATAGATTCACAATAAATTAAATCTTTTACCAGCAATGATTTGACAGTTTTTTCTCCCAGCCTACCCTGGGGTACCTCATTGTTATTGGTAAACATTTTAAAGGCAACCAGGAAGCAGTGTATGTTCATTAGATCTGTAAATGTAAGATCATTTTCTTTTCATTTTCAATACTTTCAGTTCATTTACCTGGGTTGTTGCCTACATGTCTATAAGAGGAAAAACTAAATTCAGGGAACTGGAGATGTATAATATATAATAATACTCTTTGAGCATAACAGCTATATATATGTGTGTGTGTGTGTGTGTGTGTGTATATATTCAATACTGAAGAATTAGGCTTATATATCTGGTTAAAATGAAGTAAAAGGAACATATTTGTAATTTCCCCCGAAACAATTTTTAAAAAATAGACAAATTATGAAATGATGGTATTCAACTGATGAGATGACACAGACTCCCAAGAGGTGGAAAACAAACGAGACAAACCTTACCAGTGCCCCAGCTTACTGTCTGGAGAAAGATCCAGGCAGCTGCACAGGGAGCGGGACCTACAGGCAGAACCCAGCAATGTCCCTAGCTTATGGACATGGCGCTGGATGTCCAGGGGAGCCAAGGTGGAGGAGTCTTCAGGGCAGAGAACCAGAGAGGAGAGAGATATAAAGAATCCAGATAGCTTCAGAAAACCCCACATGTATTTTGTTAAATACTGGTGATCATGTGTGTGTGAGGAATTACTCAACACCTGGCAAAGAACTGCCCCGAAGTGGGAAGGGAACAGCGTTGGAAGTCTGCCTGAAACTAGGAACAGTGCCTATTCCTGCAGCTGGAATATATAAGTTTGTAATTCAGAGGCATCATGTGGAATATGAAGAATGGTATTGCCTCAATAGTGGGAAAAATTAATCCTGGATTAACAAAGATCTGATGACATCAACATATTTTGAAAGGCACAAATTATCAAAGTTTATATTGTATAAAGTAGATTATACAAATAGCCTTACAATTATCTTTTTAATAATGAGTAAGAGCAACTTTCCCATAAAGAAAATTCCAGGTCCAGATGGCTTCACTGGTGAGTTCTATTAAACATTTAAGGAAGAAAATAATATCTATTCTACAGAAGCTCTACCAGAAAATAGAGGAGAGAGGATTTTCTTTCTTTTTTTTTTTTTTTTTATTAAATCATCACTGTGTACATTAATGCAGTCATGGGGTACAATGTGATGATTTTATATACAATTTGAAACATTTTCATCAAACTGGTTAACATAGGAGAGAGGATTTTCTAACCCATTCTGTGAGGCTAGTGTTCCCCTCACATTACATCAGGAAAAGACATTACATACAAACTACCAACTAATATCCTTCATGAGCGTAGATGCAAACTTATTAATCCTTAAGCAAGTCTGTATGTATTACTACCTTAATATTCAACAAAAGCTGATCATTATTTACTACCTGCCACAACTGGTGCTAGTCTATAAAACTCAGATGCTCAAGGGTGAAAGCAAGGTGAGGAGAAACTTCGCCGCCGCTTCCTCAATGCTAGATTGGCCTCGGAGTCACACATCCCTCTTTTGTCTGGCCACAGCATCCAGTCATTGAACTGACCCAGTTACTCTACAAAATCTTCCCACTCCCACCTGGCCCTCCTTCTGAACTTGCCTATTTCTCTATTTTCTACATAGAAGCCCTACATGTCTGCGATTATCTTGTTCTCAATGGCTTAAAAATCTTGTTAGACTTCTATTTACAGTTGAGAGGTAAGTCAGATCACGTTTATCAGGCACTGATGGAGAGCCAGATTCTGTCTTTCTCAGGCCTAAAAAGACTTAGAGTGGAATCTACTGTAGGATAGCTCAAAAACAATGGCAATGATTAAAAGTAACAATAGCAGCTCACATTTCTTGAGCACTTGTAATACGCAGGTTCTATGCACTTTGTTTCTACTGATGCATTTAATCCATGCAATGAAATGAAAGACAGATATTATTATTATTATCCTCATGCTACAGAGAAAGAAACTAACACACACCTTCTACATGGAGGTTCCAGAAACTAACCAGCCCATTATGTTTGCGATAAGAGTCACAGAAGAGTTACTATCTGAGAAGTCTGAAGAACAACCATAGCATAAGATATAAGAATACATATAAACACCTATATGCCAGCAAATTGTTATCTTTTTTTATTTTGAATATAAGCTATTACTATAAATCTTTCTAAGTGACCAATATTAAACATTAGGTATAATTTTATTTATGGTGTCTGGATTCTTCAATGTTAATAAGTTCAGGCTAAAATAGTCTTTCCCACTTCACAGATAAGAAATCCTTTTTCTGAATTAGAATCCTAACTTGGAAACTTTGGTGCAAGCGATTTTAACGTTCTGGGCTTCAGTCTCGTCATACATAGAATGAGGATAATATTACTTCCTCCATAGGTTGTGTGGTGATAATTACATGTGTAAATATACGCAAAGAACTTTGAAGTTCATATAGTAAGTGCTTAATAAATATTAGCTATTGTCAGTATCATTAGTGAGAAACAAAAGAGAAAGAATAATATAATGGCTAATAATGACACAGGTATGGGTTGAATGCCGGCATTACCACGTAAGTTACTAAGCTCTTTTTAACATAGTTTCCCTAAAGATAGTACAAAAGGAGTTGCAGGTCTAAAAGAAAAAAAAAAATGCATAAAAACATTAGCCCAGTGTACTTGGGCACGTAATTCTCAATGAATGAAAACTTCTCATAAATGGAAGCTGTAAGAGTGGTGAAGGTAGTGAATTTGATGATGGTTGTGGTGGTTATGATTTAACTTACTCAGGATTGTAAATAAATGGAGAAAATGATGGAGAATACACCACACTTCAGCAGGGTGCTGGTTACCCTGTCACCTCCTGGATCATTCCACACCCATAGCAGGTACCACCTCCCACTTCACCTAGCTGCTAGTTCATCTTGCAGTAGAAGAAAGGCAGAGAAAACCCATTAGACTATATGGTCTTATTATGTGTAGTTATTGTGAAAAGGGGATTCATACAAACGTAAGGCTTTTGTTAGTCTGGTTTTGCCTTCTTTCTTTTTAAATTAAATCTAAGCTGATTTAAACACTTGCAAATTCCCCAGCCAAATTAGGTTTAACAAGGCACCTTCTTAACTTTTGGGCTGAATAATGTCTATTCTTTCCAGTACATATACTTATCATTATTTTAATTGACAATTTGAAATTCTCCAGAACACTAATATAAACTATTTTTAAAAAACAATGTAAAAAAACCACATGGGTGATAGGCATAAAAATTAAAGGTCTTTCTCCAAAATATTCAGTGACATAGATGTCTATCTTTAGGACAGAAGAGAAATGAATAAACATAATAGAAAAGAGAAGGAACTGTAATGACTTAATTAATATAATACATTTTATTTAAAAGGTTAAATTTGGAACAATCACCTTTTATACACATGCTTAGTGCTGAGAAGCAATTTAAATAACAGTAGCAAATGAGAAAATGAGGTAAAATTACACATGTCATCAAGTTGTGGCTTTTTTTTCTAAATGGCAAGTGTTATAATTAATACCCAACTTCCTTTATAACTCACATTACCTTAGAGCTACTATTAAAGTTATCTCTTGGGACAGCAGCTTAAGTGTAGTACTTTCACTACATAATATTTAGATAGCACAGTGATTGGAATGGTTGTGATATGAATTATGACAGATGTGTTATTTTAAACAAAGGACTTATTCAGAAGAGATGAAAAAATGCATGGGCCTGGTGTGGGAAGGGGCTTCCCTTCCAAAATAGTTCAAAATAGTTAAGTATTAAAAGCTTCAAGTAAGAGAGTGTTGATGGAGCAAAAGCCTAAGTTTCCTCTGGTCCTGATGACGGATTTCTTTTTTTTCCTTTTTCTTATTTTTTTTTAAAGTTTTCACAGCCACTATACTCCGGCATTCCCTTTCCTATTCTTCAGTTTTATCCAAGGACTGGTACTACTTGCTCTTGATGATCTTAAAGGGACATTACAGTAATTGGAGAGCTATCAATGAAATGTTGAGTCTCCCTGAAGATGTAATTCATAGACGCTTTTATTATAACCATTATTACCCACTTAGAGGGCACCATGGGCTTGCTCCCCTTGAGATGTTTCAGGATTTATTTAGATAATAGGACTTCTGTATGAATCTTATGCTTCCTGACATTCAACACAAGATTGATGCATGTTATTTAATTACCCATAAGGTGCTTAATAAAGAGGATACTCTTTGGCTTGGATGCTTGTTAATGTCTCAGTGTGTCCTCTGACTCGGGAAGACTAGCTTGGGAAACACAGCCGCCCCATGGCCTGCGTTTCTAGTTTCCCTGGTTGTGGACCCTTGAAGCTAAGGGGTGCTTATGCCAACGGCACATTTGTTTATCAAGTGTGGATAAAAAGACTGCGTATTTTCATTTAATTTCAACCAGTTTCACCATTAGAATTGAGAGAAGAAAAAGATGTGGAAAAAATACAAGAACAAGCTGGTACCCTGTGAACTTGTTAGTGGCAGACGTTAAAGAGCACGGAATGCTTCCACGCACTGGCTTCCCAGGAGGGCACGCTTATATTAATATAGTGATCACTTAAAGTGTTTTATTCTTTTGTCAGACCTTCTTACACACTTCAAATGCATTCTCGCTGGGGGAAAACAATCCCCTTGCTTATTGATAGCATTTGATACACATTCTGTGACATAAGTGACTATTAGGGACTGCACTTGCTTAATAAAAATTTGCAGAACAGTGGCAGATTTGGAGAGCTAATGGGACCCAGATGCTCTTCTTATGCTGACAGAAGATGGTATATTGCTAACATGCACAAATCTCTTCAGATAAACATTGCCATCAGCTACAGTTATTCCTTTTGAGAATGCCAACACTATGTC